TCACCTGTACCAGCTTCGATACGATCGACTACGTCGAGTCGGAGGGCAGATTTGCAACGCAAACACCTCGCTGAACAGCAGGAACTGGAGGAGAAACAGCTGGAGTTGGAAAGGAAGCAGCTGGCGCTGCAAAAGAAGCACTCACAGGAGAAATACGATCTGGAGGAGTCGCTTGCGGAAGAAGCTGACAACCGCAGTGTAAAGAACCGTGTAATCGAGATCGAAGCTCGAGAACGCGAAAAGCAAGTTCAAGATTGGGTTGACAAGCATACCTCCGCGAAGCAGAAATCCACCGTAAAATCTTCCGATACCACGAAGCTTCATCCATCTCTACCAAACGGCAGCGGTATTCCGTCCAGGAATGATGGAGCTGAAGATCAAGGTCTACTTGAAGAAGCTACTAACGCAGGAACGCTGCCAGATGATAGTTCGCTACAGCAGTTTCTGAAGAATCGGATACTAATTCACAAACAACAGAAACGGCCAGTTACGGTTAAAGCGCTGCTCCTCATGGAAACTGAACTACGAAAATTTCGGTTACAGATGCAGCAATCGATGACAAGTGGAAAAGAGGATCAACCTGTCCCTGAAGATTCTTGTCCACGTCCCGATGCCTCCAAAGGAGCAATCCCTAAAACAGTTCCGATAGATTGGGACAACAAAGCCACTAAACATGGTCAACCTTCCATTACGAAGAACCAGAAGAAAAAACCCGGAATTCCTGTTCCGGATCCACCTCTTCGTAATAGGAAGGAAACCCTTGCAAAGGAAAAGATTCCAGAAGAACCGCGCAACCCGCGGGTGAATCCCGATCCTCCTAGTCACAGCACGAGTGTGTCGCATCATCCATCTCCGACTTCGATCCCAGCGAGTGGAATGATGGATGAAGACCAGCCGCAAACTCCGCCCCCACGCTTAATCCAGCCAGGCCCCCGCTTGATCCACGATGAGCAGCCACGCTATCTACCCACGTGCTCGAACAACGACGGAATTAGAGGCAACCCTCCCGTAAATCAACACCCGTTTACCCCATCAAGATATCCTGAAGAGCCTAATCTGAGAAGACCATTACCGGAACAGTTAGCTGCTAGGCAAGTAATGCCCCGTGATTTACCGGACTTCTCGGGTGATCCAGAGGAGTGGCCGATTTTCTACAGTAGCTTCTACCACTCTTCTGCGGCCTGTGGGTTCAATAACGTGGAAAATCTCGCATGTTTGCAACGTTGCTTGAAAGGCAATGCTCTCAAGTCAGTGCGATATTATTTGCTCTCTCCCGAATCAGTTCCGGATGTAATTGAGACGCTTCGAACCTTGTACGGCCGCCCTGAAGTTATCATCAACAGGCTGATTAGAAACGTGCAGGAGACACCAGCACCCAAACCGGAGAAGCTGGAAACGTTGATCGAATTTGGGATGTCGGTCAGGAATTTAACACAGCACCTCGTTGCAGCGGGTCATCAAGCTCATCTTTCGAACCCGGCCCTTCTTCAAGAACTGGTTGAAAAGTTGCCGGCCAACATAAAGCTTCAGTGGGCGCAACATCTAATGTTCCAACCAGAAGCGAGTTTGAGAACTTTCAGCAACTTCATGGCAATGGTGGTCGAATCGGTAAGCAAGGTGGTCGTCTATACGGGTGGTCAACACACCAAGAACGACAAATCTCGAGGAAAGGACAAAGGGTTCATCCACGCTCACACCGAGGGCCAAGTCGCTGTCGTGCCGATAAAAGAGAAGGGTGAGAACGAAAAACTTTGCTTATTCTGTGGAAAAGGAGGACATCGCCTGAAAGACTGTACGAAGTTCCAGCAGCTATCGGTGGACGATCGATGGAAAAATATTCAATCGTTGAAGGTGTGCAGAAGCTGTCTTAATCCACATGGACGTCACACGTGCAGATTTTCGAACCGGTGCGGGATCGATGGCTGTCAATTTCGCCACCACCAATTGCTGCATGGGAAACCTGAAGCAACAGCGAAGAAGCCTGTGCTCACATCGGCTGAGAATCATGTTCATCATCACTGCGGACAGTCCATACTCTTTCGAATCATTCCCGTTACACTGTACGGGGAGTCGAAGTCCGTCACCGTGTTCGCATTCCTGGATGAAGGGTCTTCTGCAACGCTTATCGAACGTAGTCTGGTCGAAGAACTCGGTGTGAAAGGGCCAACAGCTCCACTGTGCCTCAAGTGGACCGGCAACATGACGAGAACCGAGGAGGAATCGCAGATCGTAACGCTTGATGTTTCCGAAATGGATCGGACGAAACGGTTCCAGCTGGTGAACGCACGCACAGTAGGAGATTTGAATCTGCCATCACAAACCCTACGCTACGTGGATCTCCAAAAAAACCACCCTCACCTCAAAGGTTTACCGGTACGAAGTTACGAAAGTGTCACTCCCAAGCTTCTGATAGGCCTCCGAAACCTACAACTAGCCGTTCCTCAAAAAATCAAGGAAGGACGTAGTGGCATCGTAGCTGCCAAGACTCGCTTGGGGTGGTGCGTGTATGGAACCTTGGATCCAGTTAAAAAATCGGATGAGTATAGCTATCACGTGTGCGAATGCGAAGCGGAAGAAAGGTTGAACCTTATGATGAAGGATTACTTCAACGCCGAGGATTGTGGAGTGAATCATCGGGACGTACTAGATTCTGAAGAAGAGAAAAGAGCGCGCAAGATTATGGAGGAGACTACGTCAAGAGTAGGGGATCGCTTCGAGACGGGACTTCTGTGGAGATCCGACTACGTAGAGTTACCCGATAGCTACTCAATGGCCATGCGACGACTAGAGTGTTTGGAGAAGCGAATGGAGCGAGATCCGCTCCTTAAGGAGAGCATTCATCGCCAAGTGACGGAGTACCAGGAGAAAGGGTATGCCCATAGAGCAACAGAAGATGAATTGACCAAGGCTGATCTTAGACGGATTTGGTACCTTCCGTTAGGCGCTATCTGCAACCCGAAAAAACCAGGTAAAATTAGATTAATTTGGGATGCAGCGGCGATGGAATGTCGTTGAATTCCTTTTTACTCCCTGGGCCGGATCTTCTTGTACCACTTCCATCCGTCCACTTTCGTTTCCGTCAATATCCGGTAGCAGTCAGTGGAGACATCAAAGAGATGTTCCACCAGGCAAATGTAATCGAACGCGATCAACCTTCACAAAGCTTCCTGTTCCGCGACAGTCCAAAGGATAATCCCATAGTTTTCGTGATGAACGTCTTGACATTTGGAGCCACCAGTTCTCCTTCATCTGCACAGTTCGTCAAGAACCGGAACGCGCAAGAGTTTTCCGAGCAGTATCCGAGAGCATCGGAGGCAATTCACAAATGCCACTACGTCGACGATTATCTCGACAGTTTCGAGACGGTCGAGGAAGCAAAGTTGGTAGCTGGTGAAGTAAAATGGATTCACTCGAAGGGAGGCTTCGAAATACGAAATTGGTCGTCAAATGACCAAGCTGTACTGGAACATTTGGGAGAACCAACGAAGGAAAAAATGAAAGATTTGTCGTTGAAGGCTGATTCAGAGCGCGTTCTTGGTATGTTGTGGTATACGGAAGCGGATGTACTGTGCTTTTCAACGACGTTCAGGGAAGAAATCGTGGCACTGATCAAGACGGGTGTGAGTCCAACAAAGCGGCAAGTATTAAAGTGTGTCATGAGTCTCTTTGACCCACTAGGATTGCTGGCATGCGTCCTAGTACACGGAAAAATTATGATGCAAGATATTTGGCGGAGCGGAATCCAATGGGACGAGCACATCAACGACAAAATCCACGAAACTTGGCAGAGGTGGATAGATTTGCTGGAACACGTCAACGAAGTTCGACTACCGAGGTGCTAGTTCCGAAATGCAAGTGCTGATCTATACAATTCATTGGAAGCCCACGTATTCGTCGATGCGAGTGAAGCAGCGTATTCTGCAGTAGTGTATTTCCGGGTAGTCAACTCGGATGGGACGGTGGAATGTGCTTTGGTGTCAGCGAAAACGAAGGTTGCTCCATTGAAGTACGTCTCCATTCCTCGATTGGAGCTAATGGCGGCGGTCATAGGTATTCGTCTACTCTCGTTCGTGAGGGAAAGTCACACCGTTCAGTTCAACCGCTGCGTCTACTGGTCAGACTCCGAAGTAACGTTGGCATGGATCCGCTCTGAACATCGAAGGTACCGACCGTTCGTAGCCTGTCGCGTTGGAGAAATTCTATCAGCGACTAATGTCAAGGATTGGAGGTACGTTCCGAGTAAACTAAATGTTGCTGATGATGCCACTAAATGGGGCGAGGGACCTCGCCTCAAAGAATCTGGCCGCTGGTTCAGTGGTCCACCTTTTCTACTACTGCCCGAAGAAAAATGGCCTAAACAGAAAAAGCTTTTCGATAGTACCGACGAAGATCTTCGAGCATGCTACCTACACCAAGCAGTGCAAATCTTGCACAATCCGATAAATTTCGAACGTTTCTCAAAGTGGAACCGACTTCAAAGGACAACCGCTTACGTGATCCGTTTTGTAAACTTTTTAAAGCGAAATAAATCCGACGCGAGCAACCGTGGTGCAGGCTTGGCGCAAGAGGAGCTGCAGGCTGCGGAAGTTCTACTTTGGAAACTCGCACAATCGGAGGCTTATTGTGATGAGGTAGTAATACTAACGAAGAGCAAAACGTCGCCTGCGGATGAACGAATAAAGTTGGAGAAGTCAAGCCCCCTGTGGAGACTGTCACCAATGATCGATGAACAAGGAGTTCTACGAGTCGATGGTCGGATATCTGCAGCGAAAGGGGTTCCTGTAGACGTGAAGTTTCCCGTTATATTACCCAGAAATCACCGAGTCACCAATCTCATCGTAGACAACTACCATAGAAAGATTCTACACGGCAATTCTGAAACAGTGGTCAACGAAATACGTCAACGGTTCTACGTTGCTCAGTTACGAATTGTTGCTCGAAAGGTAGCCGAGCGATGTCAATGGTGTAAAGTGTATAAAGCAAGACCAACGGTGCCTAGGATGGGTCTCCTCCCGTCTGCACGTCTGTCACCGAGTGTTCGCCCGTTCACCTATATTGGCGTCGACTACTTTGGGCCTATTCTGGTGAAGGTAGGTCGATCGTCAGTGAAACGATGGATCTGCCTGATTACGTGCCTAACAATACGTGCAGTGCACGTGGAAGTGGCTTTTGATCTATCAACAAAGTCATGCATAGCCTGCTTACGCCGTTTTGTCTGCCGAAGGGGAGCACCACTCGAAATATACTCCGACAATGGACGGAACTTTTCCGGAGCAGATCGGGTGTTGCGGGATCAAATCCAGCGTATCGAACAGGACGCAGCGACAACATTTACCAACGCGGAAACGAAGTGGTTGTTCATTCCACCTTCCGCGCCACATATGGGAGGATCGTGGGAGCGTATGGTACGCTCCATCAAGAACACGATGACTAATCTACCCCAGGATCCGAAGCTCGATGACGATGGACTACAAACGTTAGTTGTTGAAGCCGAAGCGATCGTCAATTCGCGACCACTCACATATCTACCACTAGATTCTGCGGAGCAAGAAGCGCTGACCCCAAACCACTTCATCATGGGCAGTTCAACTGGTGTCAAACAACCGGCGATGAAAATTGCGGAAACAGCAGAAACTATCCGAGTGTCTTGGGACTTGATTCAGCAGCGCATCGACTATTTCTGGAAGCGGTGGATTATGGAGTATCTGCCAACACTAACGAGGCGTACCAAGTGGTTTGGTGAGACAAAACCGGTTGAATGTGGAGATTTGGTGATCGTGATTGACGAAACCAGAAGGAATGGATGGGTACGTGGACGTGTTCTGGAGGTGACAAAAGGCCGAGATGGCAGAGTTAGGCAGGCGATGGTTCAAACACCTGGTGGATTGTTCCGGCGACCGGTCTCCAAATTGACTGTGCTGGACGTAGCTGAACGTAGTGAGGTTGAGGGTCCCACTCATCCTCACGGGGAGGGGGATGTTGCCACCACCACAGCACCGGCAACCCGGCCCGCGGCGCTTTCGAAACGAAGGTTCTCTCAAACAACACTAGGCGCGCATTGAGTGGACGGATGAGTGCAATACAGATCTCTATACAGGTTGAAATCAATAGAATAGAATACAATAGAATAATCGAATTTGGAATGTTTACCTATTGCGATAATGTGGTATCTTATCTATTTATGTGGTACCTTATAAATTAACTTGAAATTAATAGGTGAGAGTAAGTTGTGCTTATATAATTAACTTAATTAATGCTAATTACCCTACTCTAAAACTACAGCTAAAAATATTGCTAGATATTGCAAAGTTCTTTGGAAATAGTGACTCAATGATTGTGAATTACTTTTGGTAGGTTAGAAACACTTAATTGTTTAATGCTAGAGATTAATTATGTTCCCATAACTATCGTAGCAGATAATTAGACCAAGACGGACGAGGAATTAAGAGGAGTCACTATCAGTGTAATAGTGCACTGTTTAATGTGAGTAAGACTTTATAATGAAATAGTACACGGTGTTTATTAATTTGTTTTCCAGCTTGAAGCATAAAATATACCTGCTATCAAGAACGGTGCGAGGTTTTGTTCATTAATAACAACGTTCGTTCAAAATAGTTAATATATGTGAGCGTAGTCCTACGTCAACTGTTCGTACAACCCCATTGGGCTGTCACTTGTAGTTTTTTTTTCTTGATTTGTTTTCCGTCGATCTTGTTTTCCGTCCTGAGCACCAATGCTACTGACACCAGGGAAGCAGCTCCCACACCTGGAACCTACCCATCGACCCATCAACTCATGAACCGGGGAACAACGGCTTTACTCCACCCCCCCATCCGTGATCAGGAATGTTATCCCAGAAGCGCCGACTGGGATTGAACCCAGGAATGCTTACCACTACACCACCGGCGCCGCTTAAAATGGAACTGAATGCACTCAAATTTGTTTAGCATTTTCCGAGAAAAGTGAGCCATCGTTGAGAAAAGTGAGTGATTAACGAACATGCACACACATTTCCAATCTCGTCGAACTGTTTCGATTCGTAAATTACACTTGACCCTCTCGGTCTTAGATCGAAAATGTGTTTTTCAATCCTTTCGGTACACTTTGGTGTACGAGGAAGGCAAAAAAAAACAAACATTTTACACTAATTTCCCCTCGCCGCTTATATATAGAATTGGACAGCTCCGATTAAAATATAATTCTCGGTTAATATTTGGTCTTGTGTCCATTTATCGATCATTGTCTTCTGCTACCAGTGCGTTATTTTTGTAGTGATTCCTAAAATCTTTGATTTAATCTTTGAAATTTTGCTTGTATACATCAATATTGAAAAACCACCGCTCAGTTCACGGTGGAGTGCGAATCAAGTTAATCGATTTTTGATCAACAAATGGACTTTTTCAAAAGGGACCCCAGAATTTTTCTATGTTGGGATCACTCCAAACGTTCACCTTAATTTCTCCACGATCCTGAGCCTACTTCAAGGTTCTAACTGTGTCACGCTTCCATGACGGTTGGTACCACTTAGATATTACAATTTTTACACTAAAAAAAATAAATCCATCGTTAATCATTGTGCGTGGGGGTTGTTAACCTTTTATTCGCTTCGCATTATCATATGCCAGGGAAAAGACATACGCTACACATTTCATCATACTCTCATAATACATCAAACCAAACAATCACATTATCATGCTAGTTGCGTACTCAACTCAAACCACTGAAATTCTGTCGAAAGCAAAAAGTAAATGAATTCTCTCCGTTTCTGAAACTGCAAAGGAAAACTCATCCTTCAGCTCTTCACCATCATCATCAGTATCGGTAGCTCTAGGTACACTTACACACCTAAATACGTAGATGAAACCGAGATCGAAGCTTATGATAACACATTCCCTCAGACACTTCTTTCCGAAGCTAATTTCAACGTTTTTGTGCTCTTTTAACGACCATTTTCCGGCAGCCGGACGCTATTCATCCATTATCATCCTCTAGTCGGAGATAAATGATACAGGAGAAATGTTTAGGCATAGCTATGTTTCGCACTAGTGGACGTTTCCTCGAGCAGGAATTCGAAGGGGAGATTTCCTTTGTGGCTTCCAAATGAGCTTTATTGTATTCTATTAGCGTTATCAGTGTATCTTTGAGAAATGTACAAATTATTAGCTCGTCTTGTGCGTGGTAGGAGTAAATGTTTATCTTGTCTCTGTCAGGATATTTTCCCTACATGATTCTTCAATGCAGCTTGCACCATTTGGGGGAAAAACGATCAGCAATGCATCACAATGGATGTTGGGAAAAAACTCGAGTCACAAACATGCACAAAGAATTATTTTCGTTTGCTTGTTATCATTTTTTGCTGCCGTGAATTTTTCGTGGGAGCCCCTCCCGGGGACGAAAGCTGATGGTCTTTGGCGGGGGAGTTGAATAACCAAGCTCAAAGTTGTTACTGCTGGCGGATAGCAAACCCAAACGCAAACCAGAAAGGTTTAATTGAATTTGAAATTGGATACGGAATTTTGAGCGATGATGGTTGTTTCGTTCCCATTGCCTCCAAGGTTTATATAGAAGGTGAAAAAAACCCTTTATCGACGTTTAGGGGTTCAACGGTGAAGCATTGCCAATTGACGTTGAAATTCATTCCTAATTTTGCCGCCCCTGTTGTGGTGGTATTTTCATGTACTGACTCATTATGGATGAAAACACTGCCTTTTTTGGATGCAAAAAAGTTCTGAAAATGAAAAACAAAATCGGTGCAGTTCGAGCACCAACAGGGGTTCACTTTAATTAAACGTCGTTGTTTCAACTATGATTCGGAATGATAAATTGAGGCCAAAAAAGTGTAATTAATACCCGCTGCAATTTTAGGTGATTTATGATTTGAATGTACTGCAGTTGAAAAATGATGGTGGATTGGTGAAAAAAATGTTTGCCTTGATGTATTGCACAAGTGCAAACAGCACTTAAAAAATCATATGTTTTTAGAAGCTTATAACCAAGGAAAATATTTATCAATAAATGGTTTATATTTGAACAAGACTATCGATATCAGAAATATAGGATGTAGTTTCAAATCGCACAAAACATTGCAATTAATCAAATCGATAATTTACGGGCAATTAGCAGTCAAAACGAATGTTCGATGTCATTCCCGCATAATCCTTCAATCGAAATCCATTGAAATGTATGCTTTCCCATGTTCACGGCTTTAAATCGGCCATATAGCAAAACCAAAAACTAAAATCCCCTCTTCAAATTTATTGACACCCATAAATTCACACCCGACACTCTTACACTCACACACACACACACCTTGCCCACCGCATCGAGGCCATCGCACGTCAATTGGCCTAAGTGCTTAATCCTACTTTATGCTGCTACTTCGCTTTTGCAAAATACCTGTCTGCCTGCCTACCATCAGTGACTGTATGCTTTTCAAAAAAGAATTGAATCCAACTTCATGCTTCCCCGCTCAACTACTGCTGTTTTGTGAATGTCTCTACCAGGCTTAAAGATACTCTTTAGCCCGCCCCGGATGGTCCAAAGGTAAATCATTCACAACACTTTTCGAGTACTTACTGTTGATGCTCTTCCTATTTGGAGGTTTTGTTCCTGCTGCTGTAGGTAGCAGGTAATTCATTCTGAAAAAAGCGTTTTTCATTTTATATTGTGTCCTGAAAAGCGTGCTCGTTGTTGACTGAAAAGAGCTCTACACAGCTTTTTTTTTCATTCGAAACTACAATCCCTTCATCCTTTGGTTGTTTAATCCTATTTTGGCCTCTTTTCAGCTCAAGAACCAAGTTTTCCCGGTAAACTCCTCCCGTAGCCGGGGATGGCACGATGCAGTCAGGGAGTAAATTTCAAAAGTATTTTCACAGAACCACCACGGCAGCAGCAGCAGCAGCAGCAGTGTGCGACGTAGAGTCTCAAGGTAAGCAAGTTCATCTCCGAGAGTTGAACAGTTTTTAAAGTTTAACTAGGAAAATCTTCGGTGCAAGTTTAATACGAAAAGATACTCATACTAGCTGCTCTCGTTTGTGCTGGAAGAATGCACAACTTTCTTCTCGGGATTCTTTAGAAACCGGTATGCTTGCACCGAGATTAACCAGTTCCTATTCGTCCGGGGTAGGGGGCCACCAGTCGTCCATGTGAGATAAAAGCAGCTCAGCGATGATGTCTGATGAAAGCATACTTACCTCCGAAGGAAATGTTTAGACGCTTTGGCATGGTTCCACGCTTACAATCTGACGGCTTAAAGTTATAACCCTTTGGAAGAAAGTTGTTCGGTCTGTTTATGGGAAATATTTCATTTTTCGCATCTGAATGGCTGCTAATTTTCATGGGAAGGAGGCGTAGGGTAGGAAAAGTTTAGATTCAATTTTCTGTTAGGAACGTTCCCTTCGATGTTTGCTGTTTTCATCCGAGAATTATTGATCGTTGTGAGATTTTTTCGTTTGATACAGGACTACCACCATCTGCCAGCTGGGCTATGATATCGAGCGTCCAGACTTGGATGCAGCGTTATTCTTCTTCTTATTCTTCTTCTTCTTCGAATTTCAAGCTTATTGCATATAGCATATTAGCTTATGGCGTGCTCTCAACTTAGTGTTCAAGATGCACTTCCACAGAGCTTTCGATGCCTGTACAATTTTTGCATTGGTATAATTGTGTGGCAAGTCCAATCATACCCAATCATGCCCAGGGAAGTCGAGACATTTTCCAACCCGATAAATACCTAGACCGGACCGGGAAACGAATCCAGCCACCTCCAGCATGGTCTTGCTTTGTAGCTGCACTTTTACCGACTGAGCTAAGGGAGGTCCCGGATGCAGCGTTGCCAGGTTGATTTCAAGCTTGTCGGTATTAAATGTTTAAAAAAATCGTTATTTCATGGAATGCTCTTTTTTAATTAATTTGATATTTATATTTTCTGTTATTTA